GCCACAGCGCCGGGACGACTCCCGGGACCGGCGCGGGGACTCCAGGCCCCGTACCCCGCCGAGGCGTCCCAAGGGCAAAGGCCACGGCAAGGGGAAGAAGGGCAAGCCCGCGCGCAAGGGCAAAGACAAGGACCGGAAGCGCGGTGCCAAGGACCCCCCGGCGCCGGCAAAGAAGAAGAACAGGCCGGGCAAGAAGCAGCGCGAGAGGCGCAAGTACGCGGTGAGGCGCGACCGAGGTTCGGACAGTCGCGCCAGCCCCGAGAAGAAGCGCCCGCGCAAGACGGCAAAGAGTGAGGAGAGCCCTCCACTGCCGCCTCCGGCGACTCCTCCGCCGGAGCCCTCTCCGACGTCCCCGGCGGACCGCCGTGAGAGGATGCACGGTGACCCCTCCCCGTCGGACGACGAGGACGAGGGCGATGACGATGAGGGCGAAGGCCACTTTGCCGAAGAGGAGACGCTGACGGACGACCCAACGGTCACACCGCCGGACACACCGGCTCCGTCCGAAGCGCCAGCTCAGCGTGCAGAGCCGTTGCGTGCTGCCCAGGCAGCCCCGGCCAAGGCACCGAGCAGGCCGGCGAGCAATCGCTCGCACGGCAAAGCGAGCGCTGGCTCGCAGGGCATGCCACGCGATGGTGCGCCGGTCAAGGCGGGCGGACCTCCACTGCCCCCGCCGCTCAGTGACCGCATCATCGACGACAATGCCGTCACGCCCCTGGGGAACCGCAGCTCACGCTCGCAACGTTCCGACCAGGAGTGGAACCCGAAAAAGGGGCCTGCCCCAGAGATCCACTGGCGTGGAGGCGCTCCCCCGCCTCTGCTCGCGACGTGGATGCCTGATGGGGACGCGGCCCTGCTCCTTGTGGAGTGACCGGGCTCCCGGAGCGAGAGCTGGAGTTCATGCCCCTCTCCACCATCGAGGAAGGTGGTGTGGAGGGCGTTCTCAAGCGCTTGGAGAGCGCCGCCTCGGATGCCCTGGTGTACCGCAAGCACCACTACCTCCGTACGTGGGATAGCATCCGGAGGCACGGCGGCGAGTCCATGCGGGCCTACGTCCACAGGTTCGACCAGACCCACAAGCAGCTCGGTCACCTCGGGGTCAACATCCAAGGGATGTACTCCGGTGAAGCCTTAGGGCACCGACTGCTGGAGCGCTCTGGGCTTACGAGCGAGCAGGCGCGAATGGTGCTCATCGCCTCCGGCCAGAGCTTCGAGTGGATCCCGATCCGTGACTCCCTGCTTCTGCAGTATCCGGACACCCTTCCTGTTCCCCCCATTGCTGGCGGCCAAGCAAAAGGGCGTGAGAAAGCCGGTGGACGGATGGGAAGGGCACTGGCTCGACCTCCTCCACTGGGCAGCCCAAGGGCAAAGGAGCCCATGGCAAGGGCTCGCCCAAGGGCAAAGACAAAGGCAAAGGCGGAAAGCCTAAGGGCAAAGGCGCCTCCCGTGTCCACGTGACGGAGCACGAGGAAGCTCCTCACGAGGGTGGCTACGAGGAGCCGCCGCCCGACGAGCAGGCCTACGACGACCAACCCTACGACGAGTACTACGATGCTGCCGAGGGCCAAGCGGAGGAAGACGGACAGGGCCAGGAGACCCCGCGGAGATCCCGCTGCTGGCGTCCCTCAAGATGCTGAAGCAGCTTGGAGCGGTGCTCGACCTCCCTTCTGAGAAAGCCTTCCTCGGCTCCCTCCAGATCGAGGTCCCCCTCCACGTGACATTGGGCGGACACCTCGCCATCTGTGTCACGTCTTTTCCTGTCGACGGACTTCCGTGCGACCTGGACCGGTGGCACTACCGACGTGCCCCAACCGAGGAGGTGCTCTTCGGCCCTGCAAAAAGCGAACAGAGCGCTGCAAGTGCCGACAACCACGGTCTGTGTGAGAGTGAAGCACTTCAAGTGAGAGCCTCTGCTGAAGTGCGCGCCTCCGCAGCCGTTGGTTCGAGCCCCTCTCCTGCAAGTGGCGTGGTAGCCCCGACTAGCTGCCATGCACGGACGCGTAGCGCCCGCCCCCGCTCTGGCTGTGCGCATGGCGTCGCCTCCTGGTGGAGGTCCTCACCTTGAGGAGCCGCCTCGTGGTGCTGATGCGCCAGAGCTGCCGGCTCGAAGTGGACTGGGCGAGGAACATGCTGCAGGCATCGATCCCCCCAGCAACGGTCACCGCGGCAAACTGCACGCATCCGACCAACGAGATCAACCGCTACGGGAACGCAACCGGCAGGTACGCCCTGTGCAGGGTGTGCGGTACCCGGTGGAAGTGGCAAGACGACCCCGCTGGCTGGGTCTACTGGCCTCAGTCACGTGGGCGGTCTACTCTGCCCTTGCCAACGCCGACTACGGTTGTGGCCCCGAACACGGCCCCCGATACGAAGGCCAAAGCCAAGGCAACGCCCAAGGCCCAGCCTTCGAGTACCCCTTCCTCGGTGAGCTCCCAACGCTTCCGTCCTCGGACCCGCAGGGCACCTCAGGAGTTCGACCTGTCGAGCCTCGCATCGGGGATGAGCTACGAGCCGGAAGACTCGAGCGAGCACGAGTTCTACGACTGGACTCGGACTTCCTGAAGACCGGTCAGAGGAAGCGGTTGGCGGGAGTGGCTCGGAAGGCAGGGGCAGCCTTGGGACTGGAGCTGTCCACGCTCCGTGCAGAGCTGGCCAAGGCCGTGAATGCACGGAGAAAGATCGACTATGATCACGACCTGATGCAGGTCACGCCGTGTGACAGCAAGGGCAACGTTGAAGCCCTCGGCCTCAAAGGTGTGGAGGAGACCTGGGACGTCGCCTTTCACCGCGGCCGGAAGAAGCTCACGGAAGCACTGGACTACTACAAGCCTTTAGTCCTGGCCGTGAGGCTGACGAGCTCCCCGGCTCACTCGGACCCGGAAGTGAGCAAGGCTGCGCTCAAGGCGCTAGAGAAGCAGCAACGGCGAGGTCACTACTGGACCCTGATAGCTCCCCCGGACCACACGGTGTGGAGCAATCAGAACGTCAGCAGGCTTCTCAGCAGCAGCCATGCACACGTGACCCAGGCAGAGGAAAGGGTGACAGCTAACCACGAGTGGCTGGCTCAGCCTACTCCCGAAGCGACTCCGGCTGGACTTGCTTACCGCGTCCGCCGAGTTGTGCGCGAGTTGGAGCCTACACGGTTCCGCCGCGAGAAGCAGCGTCCGCTTCGCGCCCCTGCCTGCGGCACCTGGGACCGGGTTTCAACAAAGCCCCCGTTCCATGAAACTTACTACCTAGACTACGTCCAAGACGACCGAGAATGGCGTGGTGTGATGGATCAAGTGGAGCAGGTGTTTCGCACGAGCGCCTCCCCCCAGATCACCCTCACACCCGGTCACGAGATCTGGAAGCGGATTTCGGAAATGATCCCCTGGCGGATTGAGCGAGTCCAGCTCGCCAAGGCGCCAAAGGCGCGGCGCTTCCCTCGAGACATCCCCTTCACTCACCGTGCCACCGTCCTGCTCTACAACGACGACGAAGTGGCCTGTGAATCGGATGACGTCGCCAACATCGCCTTCCCTCACCAGCGGTTTCCTAAACCCGTGAGATACGCTATACGCCTGAGGATCCAACCGATGTCCCAGCGCCCCCTCAGCCGACAGGAACCCCTCCGGTTGACCCGGACGTTCCGCCTGAGGAAGTGCACGGCGCGGACATTACCTTTCCGAACTGCAAGGCACCGCGGGAGATAAAGCGGGCAGTGGCACGCCTACATGTGAACTTGGGACACCCGTCAAGTGCGGACCTTGTCCGAATGTTGGCACAGAACGGCGCCGTCACGCCCGAGGCTGTCTCCGCGGCAAAAGCACTTACATGTGCATCATGCCTTCGCATGCGCGGAAACGCTCCCCCGCGACCTTCTCGACTCGTGGACCGCTTCGTCGGACAACTGGGAGACTGTGTCCAAATGGACATCTTCTACTCGCGGACCGTTGACGGCACGAACTACCCACTCCTGGGGATAGTGGACGAGGCGACAAACCTCCAGCAAGTGTGCGTGTTGAAGGACCGCAACCCTAAAACCGTGGTCGAAGCCTTCCGCACGACCTGGGCGCGTCCCTTTGGTTTCCCTCACAAGGTCACCTTAGACCAGGACGGCGCGTTTATGGGTGACTTCTGGACGTACCTCGTCGACAACTCAACGGAGGTGGACTACGTTCCCGCCGAGGCACACCACCGCCTGGGCAAGGCGGAACGGTGCAACGCGGTCTACCGCGAGGTCCTCAACCGAGTTGTGGATAGCATGGCGGCCGCTACGCCGGAGGACTTGGAGATGGCGGTGGACGCAACCACGCATGCCATCAATTCCATGCCCCGTTCCCGCGGACTCTCAGCCTATGCTATCGTGTTCGGACGCATTCCCCGCGTCCCGGCGGAGCTTCTGACTGACGACTCGTCACTGGCGGCCAACATTCCGTTGGAAGAGCACAACCGCCACACGATTGTCTACAGAGCTGAGGCTCAGAAGGCAGCGGCGCAGGTCAACGTGGACCAACACGTCCGACGCGCCCTCCTTCGCAAAACCGCGCACATGCGGATAGAGGACATCTCGCCCGGCGCCAAGTGTGCCGTCTGGCGATCCCAACTTCGCGGAAAAGGCCCCCGCAAACGCGGCGGCTATGTTATTGGCAGGTTGGTTACCTTCGATGGACATTGCGCGTGGGTGCAGCTGGGCACTCAGACGGTGAAGGTGGACAGGAACCAGCTGAGGCCAGCCTATGGTTTCGAAGCCTGGTCCCCCACCGACGAGGATATAAAGGCCCTCAAGAACGCCGAAGCTAACCTTTTGAGCGGCGAGGTGGAAGACTGGCAGGGTGAAGCGCCGCCAGACGACGAACCCCTGTTTCCGGAACTGGAGTTTCCACCTGAGCCGAGCGAGGAGCAAGTACAGTCCGCCTTGGACGGCACCGACGGCGCCGACCTGGCGGCCCTGCCCGCTACCTCCTCCGGCTTACTCGCCACCGGCTTCTGAGGTCCCTCTGCAAGACGACTCTGAAATGGCAAGCCAAGGTACCAAACGTACAGTCGAGAGACTTTCTGCAGCACCCTCGACTCCTGCAAAGCGGATATCCAGGTTGAGCAGCCAAGCGACCTTGATCTGCGAGTCCGGAGAGGTGTTCCTAAGGCCACCTGGCTGGGATGGTACCGACTGGGAGCCCGACCATCGGGGAGACCTGGCGTCTCTTCCCGAGGTGTTCGCTTCAGAACACCGAGAGCCACCTATCCAGGGTGCGGAGGACGACGGCGTGGAAGACTGTCATCCGTCCTGGAGAGTGTGCTATGTCGGCGACCAGAAGCAGCTGGCCAACGTCAACAAGATGACTCGCAAAGAGGTGAAAGCCCTTAATCGGGAGATCCCCTGGCGAGAAATCTTGAAGCAGCCGCGTGTGGTTTTCGACAAGTACGTCGAAGCCGCTCGCAAGGAGCACGAGCAATGGGGCACTTGGGCACCAGTCCGACCCCTTAGTGACAAAGAAGCCAACGAGGTCCTCAAGGACCCGCTTCTGAGAACCCGCGTTCTCAAGTCACGCGCGTGCTACCGCGACAAAGCGTGCGGCCAAGGCGCTTTGCAGGCCAAGTGCCGTGTGGTGGTCCTTGGTCACCGTGATCCCGACCTTCACGCGATCAGCAGGGACGCACCAACGCCGACGCGCCTCACAGAACACATCCTCCTCGCGGTGTATATTAGCGGACGAAACCGTTCGTTTTTACGGAACCGCCGAGTGTGGAGACTCTGGAGCGCTGATGCCACCACGGCATTCCTCCAAGGGAGGCAGAATGAAGGAGAGCGACCAAATCGCCTCTTCATGATGTCTCCGAGAGACCCAATACTGGAGAAGGCCGGAGCCTTCCCCGCCACCATCTACGAGGTCACTGGATCCGTTTATGGTTTGGCGAACGCGCCACGCTTGTGGTCTCTCGAGGTAGGCAAGCGACTACTCGCGGCCGGGTTTCGACCTCACGCCCTTGACCGGATGTGCTTCCTGCACTACGACAAGGAAGGCTGTTTGGACTGCATAGCGTTGGTGTACGTGGACGACTTTTTAGTCACTTATGCCGACCACTTTGATTTGACGGTGCTGACGCGCCTCTTCAAGTGGGGCAAAACCTCCTTCGACACCGACGTTATAACCTTCAAAGGGAAGCAGCTCCGGACGGTCAAGGAGAATGGTGTTTTCGTCCTCCGGGTGACGCAATCGGAGTACATCCGTACCCTTGCCCCCGGGAAGGTGACTCGCCAACGAGGCCGTGAAGACCCGAAGCTGACTGAAGCTGAGCTTTCGGAGTTCCGCTCCGTCTGTGGAGCACTCCAATGGCTCGTGGGACAGACGCGTCCTGACGGTGCTGCTACGGTTTCTTTGATGAACCGCGGCAACGACTCCACCCTCAGTGAGCTCAAGCAGCTGTACGCCCTGTCGGAGTACTTCGCTCGTACACACAGCGATGGGCTGGTCTTCCACGGGATCCCCATCAACGAGCACAGCATCATCGTGAGCTACGGTGACTGCTCATGGGCGAATGCCCAGGAGTACAAAAGCCAAGAAGGCCTCCTTGTGTGTCTCACGACACCGGACGCGCTGACAGGCAATGCCCCCGCCGTGCTTCTTGACTGGAAGAGCACCCGCACTCCACGTGTGGTGCGCTCCACTCTGGCTGGTGAGGCATACGCCGCAGATGACTCGATCGATAGGGGCGTCCTGGCAAACCAGATGTTCTCTGAGATCATTTTCGGGTGTGAAGCTAACCCCGTCACCAATCTCAAGACACTGCGTCACTGCCACGCCACTGATTGTAAGTCTCTGTACGACGCCGCCATCGCCGCTAACTTCAACACTGAAGAAAACCGCGTTGGCCTGGCGATCAGGGCTGTTCAGGAAACCATTGCCCCTCAAGACATGCGCTGGGTTCCTACGACCGCCATGTGGGCAGATGGTCTGACTAAAGTCTCTGACAGTCTGCGCGAGACCTTCCGCAACTGGCTCCGACAGCCAACGGTTCAGCTGAGGTCCGACGCCTGAGGACTACTGTGTGGTGCTCTGCGCGCCCCAGTAAGGCCGGTCCTCTCTACCAACCTCCGAAGTCTGTGCACCTGGACACGTTTTGCACCACGTACCCACCTGCAGCTACGGTTCAACCGGCTGCCTCTCTACTGAGAGAGCCTTGAGCTCCCAGCTCGGCTCACAGGGGAAGCGATAAACAGCTGACCCTTTCCCTCAACGTCCCGACACGCTTTTAGGCCAACAAAAAGTTGGGAGTGTCAAACGGGACCGTTTTGCGTAAGCACTTTGTACAGTGTGCAGCGACACTGCTGCCCTTTTGGCCCAAAACCTGTAGGGCCCTTGAGTCTGGGCAACCGCCTGCCGAAAAGGTGTGTTGCGCCTGTTTTCTGATACTACCAAGGCACCTCTCGTTCGAGACTGTTGCTTCCGAAGAAGGAAAAAGACAGAAGCGACCCCGAAAACAAAGACACAAGCGACCCCCCAAAAAAAGACACAAGTTAACGCAAAAAAAAGACAGAAGTGATCGGGCACCCCAAGTCAGACTTGTGTGTTTGTCTATCAATTCGAACTTTTGCATCTCCCGCAGTGTACACTTCTTTCCCTGCGCTCTATATAACGTGAGGTAGGCAAGAGGAATCCCAGACAATATGCCAGTGTTTCTCCGTCCTTTCAGAGGCCAGATTCGGATTCTGTAAGTACGCTATAAGTACCTCGCCACAAATGCGACGAGCTTGTTTGTCTCCCTGTCTGTCTATCTGCATTTAGGTGGATAAATGGTTCCTTGTTATGTAAGATGTGAAGCAAGGAACGGCTCGATGTGTTCGTGAAGTAGGGTGGGCTGAAGCAAAAGGGAAGGCTACCCGCAGCGATCTTGCTGCCTACACCTGCACCTCATCACCTTGACCTGCGCATGCTCGTCTCGACTCCTTCTATAGGGTTTGTAATAATAAATAAACACGAATGAGGAATCTTTCACAGAAGCGTATCTCATATCGGGAGCGGGGTGTGTAATATTAATGAGACCAGAAAACTCCGGAAATCGACAGCAGACCCTGTCGCAGGCTGGATGTCGCGATCAAAGTCCTCCACGCGCTGACCCAGGCAGTCGGGCGTTAAGGTCCAACGAAAACGGCGCGGTGCTCCGTGCAAAGCGATGTGGGTTGATTGAAGTGGATTCGCGACTCGAAAGGAATCCGAACCCGTGCTTCAAAGCACAGGATGAAGTACACATGAACAACAAAACCGAGCCCACAATTGACAGATGGGCACACACACGCACATGTGTTTGCAGCGCTGTTTCGGCTCTTGGGGGGAGCGGGGTGGCGCAGCGTTCATGACCTGAAAAAATCCACATGTCCTGGGCGCTTTCGGGAATCGGAAGTTTCAAAAAAGCCCAACATGGAGGTACGAAGGCACGATCCCTGTGCACTCATTAGCCTATATGCATACCTCAAGGTCAGCAGGTTCATTTCCCTTGTAAGTTTCACCTCCACAATTGCGCCTCATGCCTCTTGACGCGGCGACTCGGCGAAGGCAGTGTCTTGGATTCAGTAATGAGCCCACACTTTCGGAGCTTGACTTTGGATGGTTCGGGTCGGGCCTTTACACAGCTGCAGAGAATGCGAGTCGATCTGAGCCAAAGTCCAAGGACTTTTTGCAGCATAGCCGCCTAGCGTTTTGCCATTGACTCGTCTTGTGGGGTGTGCGACTTTGTAGAATACAGAAGCTGTTGCCAGAACCCTAAACCCTGGTGAAGCTTTACGCTCAATTCACCTCATGCCATATAGAGCTGGAGCTGGATGAGCTTTGATGACACCTGGGCGCGCTTGGCGTGCAAAGTGCACATGTCCAGCCAAAGTCGTGTTTGTTCAATCCGGCTTCACCCTGTTGTCTGAGGTGCCCGCTGCAGTTCCGCTGGGGTGTGCTGAGACACCTCGACGTTCTCCTTCGTCGGAGGACCACGCTAGCTGGCTTAGCAGATTTCAGAGGGACTCCCCAGATGTTTCGGTCAGTTGCACACAGCATCTAATTAATAGAGTACACTTGCCGTGTTGCTAGCAAATGCAAAATAGGTGAGTAACACAACTAGCACAGCAGCTACACTGCCTTTTTTATTTCAGAATTTAGGGTTTGCTTGCCCGTCTTGTTCACAGGCATCCAAGGGTCGCATGATCATTAGTCGTGGTTGCACACTGGGCTGCCCGACTGGTGGACACCGCAGAAATGGACTTCAGAGCATTACAGGTCTGCAGCGAAAGATCGGCTTAGGGCATACAGTAGGGTGTGTAAGCTGTTGCTGGTGCTGTTCCACGGTTAGATTCCCAAGTCGGAGCAGAACTTGAATCTGCCGCAGGCTCCATCTTTCTCCAGCGCTGCCGTGGTCAACATCGCCTCGGCGCTGACCCAGGCACTTTTCGGGCGTTTCATGACCATATGCGTAGCCGGGCAAACTACGCCATGTCAAACTCTGAACCCGACTCGCTACAGTCCTGCAGGACCAAAGCTAGCAAGGTCCAACTCTTTCAGTTTTATGGTCGAGGTATTTGTGTAATTAGCCTTTCCACCTCAACCCAGTTAAACGGCACCCGCAGGATCCTGAGTAACGACCTGTGTGGGGGACACTTGCACTACATAGACCTTCACAGCAACTCCTCTTTGATCAAGCTTAAGCCCGGCTTCGCAGGACGTAATGTGCTTTCGGTCTCCAGGGCACCTAGACGCAGAGTCTCTGCCTTGCAACTCTGCTGAGGCTGGCGATTCCACCGGCTACGAGGGAGACCTCTGATCCCAAGTACACAAGCGATTCCGATATGCTCGACATGATTGAAAGGCTTCTCCGGTAGAGGGGCTCCGCTAATGCCGCATCATTTGTGCTTGCCCTTAACTCCACTAACACGTAAGTCGTCTCTCCTGATTACGCATCCATTGGCGGCTTGGGCCCGGACTTGCGGTGCAACCGGGCGATCTGACATTCGCATCAGGAGAAGGTGGTACCACTAAGATGCAGCCACAAGAACCTGCGCCAATGCGCTCCTACATTTTGCAACGGTGTTGCGCACCTGCGGTTTGTGCGAGATCCAACGTTTTGTGCAGAGCCGATCTAGCAAAGCCGTGGACTAGGGACCGGAAACTGTTTGAAGCTTGCTGCGAGTAGCTTCCAGGACCGCCTTTCAGGACAGAAACAGCCGCAGAAGGATTCAAGGAGGCCTGTCCAACAGCCGCGGCTGCTGGACAGGTTCAGGGCGAGGCTTTGCTTTGCCTCGTCGAAGGATTGCCTTCTTCACAGGCCCGCGGTGGCAGGCCTTTCGCTCGCAGTTTCAGACTGTAGGCAAGCATCGCAGGGTTTCAGGGTGTGCATTCGAAATCCTTCAGCTGGGTTTACATTTCCGATTTGGTCCGTTTTGTGACGTGTGCCTTCCACTTCTCCGATCCTGCTCGCAACAAGCGGAAATTCGCCATTTTGTTCGTTTGGAGAACCATACACAAAATACCTTGCGCAAAGAACGGATCACAACCCACTTCCCGCAACGGGTGAGATCTTTGGGAGACTTCGTCGTCTGCCCAGTTTGCTCGTATTCTAGGGAGGCTCTGCCGAACCCACCCTCAACCTAAACCCCAATGCAGCCAATGCACGTGTGGAGGAAGACTCGAGCCGCCCGACATATAGAGCCGGCCAGAGTTATGTGGGCCATGTCTTTCTCGGTTGCTAAATGTCTGCTGGTGCCTGCCAGATGCACAGGCTCGCGTGCGTTGATCGAAAACGACACACTGTGACCGTAGGCCCGAGTTTCAGTTCAATGATTTTTTCTCCTCTCCGCGCAGTTTGTGTGCATCCGGGCTGAGGTCTCGAGGCTTCTTGCGATTCAGGTTAAACTCCATCACAAAATTGCCGTTAACGGCTCTAAGACTCTAAGTTCTCAAGCTGAATTTCCGGATCGAGCTAGGCCCTGAAACTTGTTTGCAAGCTCTTTGCACCCAGTCCGAGGACGATCCGTGCCAAATGTCAATATGCATCCATTGCAGATGGGGACTCAGGGATTCTGGCTGTCAAGATGAGCGCGCCTTTCCTTGTACACTCGTTTGTGCACTTGGGTGCTCTGGTGGAAGTCTTGAACTCCACTGCAGATGGAGATTCAGGGTTTCGGGCGGTCCAGCTCAACCCCTCTGGTTGCGTTGCTGTCGCTTCGCTGATGTAGTTTCCCGAAGCCATCGCTGCTTACGACCCCTCTGGTTTCTGTCCTCTGCGAGGCCCATGGCGAAGATGCACAGGCCTTGATGACACTTGTCGAACACGCCGGCTGTTCTCCGTTGCTTGCTTTCTACGGTGCTTTTGCGGCCGTGCTCCCTCCACCACAAGCTACGACTCTTCTTTGATGCGAGTTGCACCACAGACCTGCCCCGCTTCAACTGTGGTGGTTGCACGGGGAAGCCAAGGTCTGGACTCGCCATGACCTCGACAGTTCTCCTACCCAAGGCCCAAGACGCATTGCCGCCGTGGCAAACCCAAAAGTCCAGGCAAGACTTGGCGTGCGTTGTCCCGGTGTGTCGACCTGTGACTGGCATCAACCGCCGTGGGTGGACTTCCTTTTGCCTGCAGAGGTCAATGAGTGCATGGAGGCTTCGGGATGAGCACATGCACTACGCTTAGCGCATCCGCAGCCCATGTTTCCTGCAACGGACCGGATGTGACCGATGCGATAAGATCTTTAGACATGGCATGCTTCGCCCTGGGTTCTCAGGCCAGTTTCGAAGTGTGTTGCTCTGCACTCGGCGCCGGCTAGGATAGAAATTAATGATCATCAAAAGCTCCGTCCACGTGGTCTGCGAATCAAGCGTGAGGCAGAGCTTCCCAAGCGCAACAGCATCAGCTGCATGGCGACACTGCCTAGCTTGTTGACCGCTGCGTGCCTTACATCTGTGAATCGGGGTGACAAGAACATCCAGGAATCTTGGGCCTGCGGGGTCGCGACGCAATGAGGGTGTGAGGTTTCGGTTGGCAGGATTCTGTGCCGGCTTCA